TGAGCTTGCTTTTGTTCTCCCTTGAGGCCATCAAGAAATTAGAATGAGGTTCTAAAAAAAGCTCAGGAACTATTAATACCCACACACAAGAAGGAAAAGCCACAAGACTCCTACTTAAGCAGGAGACCTTATACCAGGGGTAGGCAACCTTGGCTCTTTTATGACTCGTGGACTTCAACTCCCAGAATTCCTGAGCTAGCCATGCTGAGGAGAAAGGGAGAGGTTTCCAAGCTGAGCCATGCTGGCTCAGAAATTCTGGGAGTTGAAGTCCACGAGTCATAAAAGAGCCAAGGTGGCCTACTCCTGGTCTAGTCTAATGAAGAGAAGGACGAGGGGTGACAGGATAGCAGCCTTCCAGTATCTGAGGGCCTGCCACAAAGAAGAGGGAGTCAACCTTGGCTCTTTGATGACTCGTGGACTTCAACTCCCAGAACTCCTGAGCCAGCCATGATGAGGGAAACGGGAGAGGTTTCCAAGCTGAACCATGCTGGCTCAGGAATTCTGGGAGTTGAAGTCCATGAGTCATAAAAGAGCCAAGGTTGCCTACCCTGCCCTATCCCATTTCAGACAAGTGGCTGTCCAGTCTCTTCTTGAAAACCTCCAGTGTTACAGCACCCACAACTTGTAGAGGCAGGTTGTTCCACTGATTGATTGTTCTCACTGCCAGGAAATGCCTTCTTAGTTCTAGGTTGCTTCTCTCTTTGGTTAGTTTCCATCCGCTGCCTCTTGTCCTGCCTTCGGGTGCTTTGGAAAATAGCTTGACATACACACCCCTCTTCTCTGCGGCAGCCCCTCAAATACTGGGGCTGCCCCAATGAAGAGGGAGTCAAGCTATTCTCCAAAGCGCCTGAAGGCAGGACAAGAAGCAACGGATGGAAACTAATCAAGGAGAGAAGCAACCTAGAATTAAGGCAGTGTTTCTCAACCTTGACAATTTTAAGGCATGTGGACTTCAATTCCCAGAATTCCACAGCCAGCAATGCTGGCTGTGGAATTCTGGGAGTTGAAGTCCACATGCCTTAAAATTGTCAAGGTTGAGAAACACTGAACTAAGGAGAAACTTCCTGTCAGTTAGAACAATTAACCAGTGGAACAACCTGCCTCCAGAAGTGGTGAATGCTCCCACTCTGGAAGTTTTTAAGAAGAGACTGGACAGCCATTTGTCCAGAATGATATAGGGCAGTGATGGCGAACCTTTTAGAGACTGAGGGCCCCAAAACTGACCCCCGCCCATGCTCCACCCCTTGCCCTGCCCATGCCCCACCCGCACCCTGTCCCCCACCCCACCTGCCTGCAGGGCCACTCACTGCCTCCAGGGCCTGCCGCAAATCACTCAAGCAGCCCAGCAGCACCATGGCGGCCACGCCCTCTGCCCATGCCCCGCAGCATCAACTGTGTGGGATGGGGTGTGAGGGCAGAGTCTTGTCTACACTGCCTGGCTGCCATGTCCTTGGCTGCGGTGCTCCGAGTGGGCCACGCTCGGGGGCAACTCTCCTCCAGGGGGGCTGCTGGTGAGGAGGGGGTCATAGGGGGAGGCAAGGCTGGGGCAATGGCACGTGTGCCCACAGAGAGGGCTCCGAGTGCCGCCTCTGACACGCATGCCATAAGTTCGCCACCACTGATATAGGGCTTGGACTAGGGATTATTCTATAGGGATTGGACTTCCAATTCTGTTATTCTGACCATCCCCCCTTCCTCTTGTATTAAACATGGTTTCCTGACCCTCTGCCCCAAATCCACCACTTTTTCATAGAGCGCCAGTTCTGGGATTATTTGGGGCATTTATCAGGCCAAACTTGGAGAGAAATTGGAAGGGTTGAGACTTGATTGTCTGGATGATTCGGAATAATGCACAGCCGCACATCAACACCCTTGGCATAACAACCGTCCTTGATTGCTTTCAAATGTGGTTTTGCAACATCGCTGAGCGCTGTGCATCTCCAGAAATGCAAAGCAGAACTGCGCTGAGCTAGTAAAGCACGCGTTTCCAGCTTGTTGTTTCCAGACCCAAGGCCGCGCTTATGTTAAAATGCATTATTTATTGCGAACTGCCTTTCAGTCACTGGCAGGAAAAATAAAAGGTCAATGACAGTCCAAGGATATGAATCAGGCTTAGCGGTTTGTTTTACATGCCAGGGCTTTGAGGAACAGGTAGTCCTCGACTTACGACCACAATAGGGCCCGACATTTCCGCTGCTAAGCGAGACAGTTGTTACGTGTGTTTTGCCCCATGTTTATACCCTTTCTTGCCATAGTTCTTGAACTGAATACTTTATTTGGCCAAACGTCATTAGATACACAAGGAATTTGTCTCTGGTACAGAAGCTCTTAAGGGATTCCCTGCAGTTGTTAAGTTAGTAATGTGGTTGTTAAGTGAATCTAGCTTCCCTATTTGTCAGAACCCATATATTACTGGGGGGGGGAATCTATTCTATTTCTTTCTATTTCCTTTTTATTCATTACTACGGGTTCTGCCATTCTCCTGAAGGGGAAGGGGGAAGATGCCGCAGGCTGTCTCTTTCTTTCTTTCTTTCTTTCTTTCTTTCTTTCTTTCTTTCTTTCTTTCTTTCTTTCTTTCTTTCTTTCTTTCTTTCTTTCTTTCTTTCTTTCCCTACAATGTATCCTTTCTGCTATTCCTGCATACTTACTCTTTGAACCATCTCTCCCTTGATGTTACCTTGGAGTGCGTAAGACATGTGCCTCCAGCCATCTGGCTTATCTCTCATTTTGGAAGGGAAGGTGTGAAGACCCAGCAACATAGATGCAAGCCTGGGAAAGGCCTGTGTGTTATCAGCTCCTTTCCCACAGCAAACTTAACACCTGAGGATTGGCCCATTCAAACTGACCGGATGAACTGTTGGGGTGGGGTTTGCTTGGGACTCTTTTAACTTATTGATCTGAGCGGGGAAACCCTCAGATCTTGCCTATTATGCCTGCTCTCAGCTTCTCCTAATAAAAGTTCCTTTTGGAAGAAACTTGTGAGAAGTCAGCCCCCCAGAGAAGGAAATATTAAAAGGGCAGAAAAATATATTTCCTCAAAGGATCTTAAAGAGGCAGAAAAGCATGCCCAGTTTTTCTTAATAGCCCCAAGTTTCCCTCCCCCAAAGCTGCACGTTCCTGAGATTAAACTTTACAGAGGGCACATTCACACGTGCATCCACACCTCACAAAAGGACCATTGAAGCCTAAATACCAACAGCCTCTCCATCCCAAATTGTAGCTATCTTCCAGGGTTGTCTTTAGATTCTCAAATTAACATTTTCCTGTTCAAACAGTGTGTCATTCTGATTCATTCTTGCACAACTCTGGCTGAGATTGAGACCTCCAATTCTTCTAACAAGCTCAAAATGCAAATATGGTAGCACCTTGGTAGTCATCATTAATTAGTTCTGGGAGACACAATGGGTAGCAAAAATGACCAAATACCAAACCAAATTTTCCCATAAAGCATAATGTGTGACCCCGAACCAAAGACAATGCCCATTTTTAAAGCAATGGCTAAAAAGATACGGTTGTTCATCATTACTTTACGTGAGATATAACAGAATAACATGGCTGGAAGGGACCTTGGAGGTCTTCTAGTCCAACCTCCTGCTCAAGCAGGAAACCTTTATACCATTTCAGACAAATGATTGTTCAATCTTTTCTTAAAAACCTCTAGTGTTGGAGCAACCACAACTTCTGAAGGCAAGCCATTCCACTGATTAATTGTTCTCACTGTTAGGAAGTTTCTCCTTAATTCCAGGTTGCTTCTCTCTTTGATTAGTTTCCATCCGTTGCTTCTTGTCCTGCCTTCAGGTGCTTTGGAGAAAAGGTTGACCCCCCCTCTTCTTTGTGGCAGCCCCTTAGATATTGGAAGATGGCCATCATGTCACACCTTGTTCTTGTCTTCATTAAACTAGGCATACCCAATTCCCGCAACCATTCTTTGTATGTTTTATCACCCAGTTCCACTAATCATCTTTAATAAATGCTTAGATTAATTAAAGTAAAAGCTTCATTCTACCCGTACTAATGAGAAAAAAAGCGCAAGAATAAACAAAATGACCACAGAAGCTAAGATTAAAAATGCAAAAGGATATGCACAGGGCAAGAGCTAACATGTGACTAATGCATCACTCTGTGTTTTGGCTGGAAAGGCTAGCAAGTCACAAGACAACCCCAGACACCAAGAAATTAACAGAGGGATAGAATCAAGATCACGTGAAGTATTAATACCACTTTACAAGGCCTGGATAAGGCCACACTTGGAATACTGCATCCAGTTTTGGTCACCACGATGTAAAAAAGATGTTGAGACTCTAGAAAGAGTACAGAGAAGAGCAACAAAGATGATCAGGGGATTGGAGGCTAAAACATATAAGGAATGGTTGCTGGAATTGGGTATGTCTAGTTTAATGAAGAGAAGGATGATGGGGGACGATAGCAATGTTCCATATCTCAGGGGCTGCCCCAAAGAAGAGGGAGTCAAGCGATCCTCCAAAGTGCCTGAAGGCAGGACAAGAAGCAACAGATGGAAATTAACCGAGGAGAGAAGCAACCTAGAACTAAGGAGAAACTTCCTGACAGTTAGAACAATTAACCAGTGGAACAACCTGCCTCCAGAAGCGGTGAATGCTCCAACACTGGAAGTTTTTAAGACGAGACTGGACAGCCATTTGTCTGAAATGGTATAGGTTTCCTGCCTGAATATGGACTAGATGACCTCCAAGGTCCCTTCCAACTTTATTATTATTATTATTAATTCTAGCTTGCGTGACGAGTACTAAACCAATGATAAATACTGGGACAGAATTTTCTCATCAAAATGTGTTAAGTATCAAATTCAATGGGTTTCAAAGTAGTACCGCTGTAAGCAGGCGTGCTGACCAGCATCAAAAGCGCACTGTGCTCCTTTTTAACACCATCCACCAATGGCCAACCTCAGCAAAGGCAATCAGGAAACTTTCCCAGGTCTAGAATACCTGGGCAGGTGTGGTCCACTTTACCAAGTCACTTACCTTCGGCATCTTACGGAGGTTGGGAGAGAGTTTCAGGCAGGTGACGTGCCCACGGTCATCCCCGACGATGATGATGGGGTAGATGGCGTTGAACTGGACATGGGTGATTTTGTTTCGCTTCTTGGCTACCACTGGCTGGTGACAAATAGCTTCGTATTTGTTGACACTTAAGTCAAAGATGTAGGTCTGATGAGAAAAAAAAAACCAAGGCAGAGAGTAAGAGAGGGGTAAAGTCACTGCAGAGATGAGGGAGAAGAGACTCAGCTCATTCCCTGAGTAAAGCACAACGCATCTCCATTGAAGAGACCCCAGCAGGTGCCCCATTAATTATTTCAGTCAATTAGAATAGAGCTGGAAGGGCTTGGAGGTCCTCCATTCCAACCGCCTGCTCAACCAGGAGACCCTATACCATTTCAGACAGGGGGTTGTCCAGTCTTTTCTTAAAAACCTCCAATGATGGAGCACCCACAACTTCTGAAGGCAAGCTATTCTACTGGTTAATTGTCCTCACTGTTAGGAACTTTCTCTTTAATTCCAGGTTGCTTCTCTCCTTGATTAGTTTCTTGTCTTACTTTCTGGTGCTTTCTCTTCTTTTTGGCAGCTCCTCAAATATTGGAATGCTGCCATCATGTTACCCCTAGTCCTTCTTCTCATTAAACTACCCATACCCAGTTCCTGCAACCGTTCTTCGTAGGTTTTAGTCTCCAGGCCCCTAATCATCTTTGTTGCTCTTCCCTGCACTTTTTCCAAAGTTTTTTGAAACTTCTTGAAAGTTAGTATGAAAGAAGGATCTGCTTCCATTCCTGTTACGAGGAGGAGGAGGAGGAGGAGGAGGAGGAGGAGGAGGAGGAGGAGGAGGACTGTGGGGTCCTTGGTGCTCTCTGAGCTTGAGTGTTTTCTTCCAAATGTTTCATGACCCAACTGAGTAACATCATCAGTGTTAGAAGGGAGAGAGGTGTGCAGGGAGGAGGAGGAGGAGGAGGAGGAGGAGGAAGAAGAGGAGGAGGACAACGACGACTGTGGGGTCCTTGGTGCTCTCTGAGCTTGGCTATTAAGCCCAGTCATTAGAATACCACTCAATCAAAATAAAAGCAGATACTTCTAGAGCAGTGGTTCTCAACCTGTGGGTCGGGACCCCATTTGGGGTCGAACGACCATTTCACACAGTCCGCCATTTCCCCCCCCCCTTTTTCCTTAGCTGTGCTACTCCCTTTTATTCTATTGGCTTTTGAAAGCCAATAGAATAGACTCTCTTGAATAGAGTCGAATTCTATTGGCTTTCAAAAGCCAATAGGAATTGTCCAGGCTGTCTCTTCCCTGCTGAGCCCACCAAAAGTCCCATTCTGCAAACGGTGCTGCACCAGTTGAGTAGTCCTCGACTTATGACCGGTTGAGTAGTCCTCGACTTACAACCGGTTGGGGGGTCGCGGTATTAAAAAGGTTGAGAACCACTCTCCTAGAGATTGGGCAGAAGTACCCCAAAAGATCTTTCAGGGAAAGCTCCTAGCTCACTTCTCATCCAAGCTTACCGTTACTGGCTGGGACAGATGTTCAGGAACACCTGGAGGGCCATAACTATTCTTACCTAGCTCTGGCCAAAACAAGGGGGAGAGGGGGTCACTCAATCAGGGCTAGCCCACTCCCTTTGGAGCCCTTTCATTTCATAAAAAGCCTCTGCTTTCCCCCTTCGCCAGGGGTGTCTCTGCATCCCCAGCACGGCAGAATCCTCTTTGCTTCTGGCCCTTCCTTTATTTGTTCCCAAACAAGGATGTGACGCTGTTGCAGTTGGATCAAGACTGGAATAAATATCAGATGAAGAGAAAAGGAGAGGAGAGGAGAGGTTTAATTAATTCAAATGGGGGGGGGGGCAGAGAAACTTGAAAGCAACCTGATGAAGTGCTGCAGACCCTTAATTGATCTAATGTCTCAGATCACCAGGTAAGCGAAGGGCGCTTAGCATTCAGGCGTGTCAACTTTACGCAGCGAGAACACACACACACAACACACACACACAAAATGGCTGGGTGCTGCAGTTGTGAGCCTTGATGATACAATCAAAAGGGGCTGTTAAATTAATTTATGGGGGGGGTAGCAAAGGGAAGGGAGACGCTTGTAATGCTAATAGGTTTCTCAGGGCAGAAAGGATGGGGGAGGAATCTGCTAAGGCAGTGTTTCTCAACTTGGTGACTTTAAGATCTGTGGACTTCAACTCCCAGAATTCCCCAGCCAGCTTTTTCCAAAGTTTGTTTCAAATTTCTCGAAAGTCAGTATGAAAGAAGGCCCTGCTTCCAATCCTGTTACAAGGAGGAGGAGGAGGAGGCGGTGGCTGGGGAATTCTGGGAGTTGAGGTCCACAGATCTTAAAGTCGTCAAGGTTAAGAAACACTGTGCTAAAGGATTAAAGGGACTCAGTTATCGTTCAATTCTCTTTCAGAAGCGTTCTTCACCAAAAGTGCATTAAACCTATTTTCCAAAGCACCTGAAGGCAGGACAAGAAGCAACCGGTGGAAACTAATCAAGGAGAGAAGCAACCTAGAACTAAGGAGAAACTTCCTGACAGTGAGAACAATTAATCAGTGGAACAGCCTGCCTCCAGAAGCAGTAAATGCTCCAACACCGGAAGTTTTTAAGAAGAGACTGGACAGCCATTTGTCCGAAATGGTATAGGCCCCCTAAGTGGAATTTTCCTAAATGGGATTTTTCCATTGTTTTTACCAGGAAATATATATAGGTCAGGCTGGAAAAGGCAGTGCCCTCCTAACCATACACAAGCATTCCAAGTTAGTTGGCAATGTCCATTTTGCTCTACGAGTTCATGTTGATGTAACCCTAACTCTAAGTGGAATTTTCCTAAATGGGATTTTCCCAGGTATTTTATCAGGAAACATAGACAAGGCAGACTGGAATCCTCAGTGCCCTCCTAACCACACCCAAGCACTCTGAGTTTGTTGGCAATATCCATTTTGCTCTATGGGTTCATGTTGACCTAACCCTAAGTGGAATTTTCCTAAATGGGATTTTCCCATTTATTTTATCAGGAAACATAGAAAAGAAAGGCTGGAAAGGTCAGTGCCCTCCTAACCGTACCCAAGCACTCCGAATTTGTTGGCGATGTCCATTTTGCTCTACGAGTTCATGGTGACCTAAGACTAACCCTACGTGGAATTTTCCTAAATGGGATTTTTCCATTGTTTTTATCAGGAAATAGATATAGGTCAGGCTGGAAAGGGCAGTGCCCTCCTAACCATACACAAGCATTCCAAGATAGTTAGCAATGTCCATTTTGCTCTACGAGTTCATGGTGATGTAACCCTAACTATAAGTAGAATTTTCCTAAATGGGATTTTCCCAGGTATTTTACTCGGAATCATAGATAGGGCAGCCTAGAGAAGTCAGATCCCTCGTAACCGTACCCAAGCACTCCGAGTTTGTTGGCAATGCCCATTTTGCTCTATGAGTTCACGGTGACCTAACCCTAACCCTAAGTTGAATTTTCCTAAATGGGATTTTCCCATGTATTTTACCAGGAATCATAGAAAAGACAGGCTGCAAAGGTCAGTGCCCTCCTAACCATACCCAAGCACTCTGAGTTTGTTGGCAGTATCCATTTTGCTCTACGGGTTCCTGGTGACCTAACCCTAACCCTAAGTGGAATTTTCCTAAATGGGATTTTTCCCATGTATTTTATCAGGAAACATAGACAAGGCAGACTGCAATCCTCAGTGCCCTCCTAACCATACCCAAGCACTCTGTGTTTGTTGGCGATTGTCCATTTTGCTCTACGGGTTCATGGTGACCTAACCCTAACCCTACGTGGAATTTTCCTAAATGGGATTTTCCCATGTATTTTATCAGGAAACATAGACAAGGCAGGCTGGAAACCTCAGGGCCCTCCTAACCATACCCAAGCACTCCGAGTTTGTTGGAAATGTCCATTTTGCTCTATGAGTTAATGGTGACCTAACTGTAACCCCAAGTGGAATTTTCCTAAATGGGATTTTCCCATGTATTTTATCAGGAAACATAGATAGGGCAGCTTAGAAAAGTCAATGCCTCCTAACCATACCGAAGCACTCTGAGTTTGTTGGCAATGTCCATTTTGCTCTACGAGTTCATGGTGACCTAACCCTAACCCTAAGTGGAATTTTCCTAAATGGGATTTTTCCCATTGTTCTTACAAGGAAACATACATAGGGCAGGCTGGAAAAATAAGTGCCCTCCTAACTAAGCACAAGGACTCCGAGTCTGTTAGCAATGTCCATTTTGCTCTACAAGTTCATGGTGACCTAACCTTAACCCTAAGTGGAATTTTCCTAAATGGGATTTTCCCATGTATTTTATCAGGAAAAATAGACAAGGCAGTCTGGAATCCTCAGTGCCCTCCTAACCATACCCAAGCACTCTGTGTTTGTTGGCGATGTCCATTTTGCTCTACGAGTTCATGGTGACCTAACCCTAACCCTAAGTGGAATTTTCCTAAATGGGATTTTCCCAAGTATTTTACCAGGAAATATAGATAGGGCAGGCTGGAAAGGTCACTGCCCTCCTAACTATACACAAGCACTCTGTGTTTGTTGGCAATGTCCATTTTGCTGTACGAGTTCATGGTGACCTAACCCTAACCCTAAGTGGAATTTTCCTAAATGGGATTTTCCCATGTATTTTACCAGGAAACATAGACAAGGCAGACTGCAATCCTCACTGCCCTCCTAACCATACCCAAGCACTCTGTGTTTGTTGGCGATGTCCATTTTGCTCTACGAGTTCATGGTGACCTAACCCTAACCCTAAGTGGAATTTTCCTAAATGGGATTAACCCATGTATTTTACCAGGAAATATAGATAGGGCAGGCTGGAAAGGTCACTGCCCTCCTAACTATACACAAGCACTCTGTGTTTGTTGGCAATGTCCATTTTGCTGTACGAGTTCATGGTGACCTAACCCTAACCCTAAGTGGAATTTTCCTAAATAGGATTTTCCCATGTATTTTATCAGGAAACATAGACAAGGCAGACTGCAATCCTCAGTTCACTCCTAACCATACACAAGCATTCCAAGATAGTTGGCAATGTCCATTTTGCTGTACGGGTTCATGGTGACCTAACTCTAAACCTAAGTGGAATTTTCCTAAATGGGATTTTCCCACGTATTTTACCAGGAAACATAGAAAAGACAGGCTGGAAAGT